GCCCCGGCGAGGTCTGTGGCCAGCCACAGCCACGGGTGCGGGTGGGCAGGATGTGGGCTCCCAAACTGCCCACGGGGCAGGAGAGGGAGGAAGCCCAGCCACAGGCCCCAGCGTGGGAGCGGAGATGCTGCATGGGCCGGATGTCAGTGGGATTCCTGGGTGCCGGAGCGGGGCACTGACATGACCAGAAAGCTGGGAGAGGCTGCAGTGAAGGCCAGTCAAAGGCAGGGGCACGGATGCCGGACGCTGGCAGACACAGCCCCCCACGCGCCAGACTGCCCTGCACACTCTGGTGTTGGCAGTGCAACGCCCAGGTGATTGGAGAAGACCTAAAAAAGCCCAGCACAGACGCAAGTCTGCCAGGGAACAGGCAGCTGGCGGCAGGCTGGTGGGCGGACCAACTGGACCCTTGGCGAAGAGCGGGTTGGCGCCGCGGGAAGGCACATGGGGCCAGCACTCGGAGCTGGGAGGGGCTCTGCGTGGGGCACAGAGAGGGGCGGGGAAGACCTCGGGAGGGCCACGGGGCAGCAGGGCCACGGAAGGGACCAGATGCAGCAGAGCAGACTGACCAGAACGGGCGGCCGAGGCAGGGACGGGGAGGGTGTCCACAGCACGGTGCTCTGGGGGACCGTGTCTTCACGCGGTTCTTTGTAAGGAGACCCAAGAGTGCCATGGGGAGAGGCACGGACAGGATCTCCGCCTCCATCACTGGGTCCACGTCCAGCACATGGGGTATCCGTGCGCTCACCGGTCAGGTCCCCGTCCAGCCCACGGGGTGTCCGTGCGCTCACTCGTCAGGTCCACGTCCAGCACATGGGGTATCCGTGCGCTCACCGGTCAGGTCCCCGTCCAGCCCACGGGGTGTCCGTGCGCTCACTCGTCAGGTCCACGTCCAGCACATGGGGTATCCGTGCGCTCACCGGTCAGGTCCCCGTCCAGCCCACGGGGTGTCCGTGCGCTCACTCGTCAGGTCCACGTCCAGCACATGGGGTATCCGTGCGCTCACCGGTCAGGTCCCCGTCCAGCCCACGGGGTGTCCGTGCGCTCACTCGTCAGGTCCACGTCCAGCACATGGGGTATCCGTGCGCTCACCGGTCAGGTCCCCGTCCAGCCCACGGGGTGTCCGTGCGCTCACTCGTCAGGTCCACGTCCAGCACATGGGGTATCCGTGCGCTCACCGGTCAGGTCCCCGTCCAGCCCACGGGGTGTCCGTGCGCTCACTCGTCAGGTCCACGTCCAGCACATGGGGTATCCGTGCGCTCACCGGTCAGGTCCCCGTCCAGCCCACGGGGTGTCCGTGCGCTCACTCGTCAGGTCCACGTCCAGCACATGGGGTATCCGTGCGCTCACCGGTCAGGTCCCCGTCCAGCCCACGGGGTGTCCGTGCGCTCACTCGTCAGGTCCACGTCCAGCACATGGGGTATCCGTGCGCTCACCGGTCAGGTCCCCGTCCAGCCCACGGGGTGTCCGTGCGCTCACTCGTCAGGTCCACGTCCAGCACATGGGGTATCCGTGCGCTCACCGGTCAGGTCCCCGTCCAGCCCACGGGGTGTCCGTGCGCTCACTCGTCAGGTCCACGTCCAGCACATGGGGTATCCGTGCGCTCACCGGTCAGGTCCCCGTCCAGCCCACGGGGTGTCCGTGCGCTCACTCGTCAGGTCCACGTCCAGCACATGGGGTATCCGTGCGCTCACCGGTCAGGTCCCCGTCCAGCCCACGGGGTGTCCGTGCGCTCACTCGTCAGGTCCACGTCCAGCACATGGGGTATCCGTGCGCTCACCGGTCAGGTCCCCGTCCAGCCCACGGGGTGTCCGTGCGCTCACTCGTCAGGTCCACGTCCAGCACATGGGGTATCCGTGCGCTCACCGGTCAGGTCCCCGTCCAGCCCACGGGGTGTCCGTGCGCTCACTCGTCAGGTCCACGTCCAGCACATGGGGTATCCGTGCGCTCACCGGTCAGGTCCCCGTCCAGCCCACGGGGTGTCCGTGCGCTCACTCGTCAGGTCCACGTCCAGCACATGGGGTATCCGTGCGCTCACCGGTCAGGTCCCCGTCCAGCCCACGGGGTGTCCGTGCGCTCACTGGCCAGGTCCACATCCAGCACACGCATGTTTTCACATGCTCAAACTCAGTCGCTTCCTTAAACAAATGCCGAGGCCCTTGTGGGGACAGTGGGGACAGCCGGGTGACCTCTGAAACAAGCAAGCTGCTGCCCTCCTGGGACGTGCCTTCCTGCCCACATGGCTACAACAGCCTGTGAGTCACAGAAAACGTGGGCTCTGACACGCAATGTGGAGTGGGCGGTGAAAGACCACGGACGTCCGCCGAGTCCTGCGTCATGGCGGGAAGGGGGGTAGCCTGCCACTGGCACACAAAAACGTCCACAGGGGGACTGGGCGAGGCCTGATGCAACGTGTATGACATACATGTCTGGGACACGGAGAAACACATGGACGTGAACTAGCTTGAGCGTCCGTGGAAACGTCTAGAAAACGTCTGCGAAACCACCAGCCGACCAGCGGTGGCCCGTCAGAGGCGAGGGAAGCAGGGACAGGAAAGGAAGGCCTCTCCGTGCTCCAGGGAGTCAGCCACATAGATGCAGGTTCTGTCCCCAGAGCACAGGCCTGGTCTGCTGGGGGGAGCTGGTCCCGACCACAGACGGGCAGGGACAGTGACATGGGAGAGCAGGGGTGGCTGAGGAGCCCACACTCAGCCGGCCTACCTGCACCGGAGGGCCCCAGCTCCCACTGCAGGCCGCAGGCGTCTCTCTGAGCAGGAGCCGCGTCCTGGAACACAGCGGTGGGGTCCCCTCAGCACACGCAGCCTTTACCCAGCTGGCCCACTGGTGGCCAGCACCTCCCAGCCAGGGCCCCGGCCCCAACGCAGCACCCCAGTCCCTGACGCAGCACCCCCTCTCACCTAGCACCCCCTCCCAGCCTAGGACCTCAGGCCTGCACCCAGCCCCCTCATACCCAGCACCCCCCACCCAGTGCTCAACCCCCAGGACTCACCCCCCAGGGCTCA